AAGCTAAACAAACTATGGGTGCGCTCATGTGTTATATCAACCAGTATTTGGTATAAGCTAATCAAACTACGAGTGCGCTCATGTGTTATGTCAAACAGTATGTGGTATAAGCTAAACGTGCGTGTTTGTTTTTAATTGCTGTTATTGTGTCTATCGCATGCTTTCCGGTGTGTCTGCGTGCGTGTGTTTCGAGGTTTTGTTTGTGTCTATCTCATGCTTTCAGGTGTGTCTACGTGTGTGTGGAGTGGGGTCGCACATATATCATATATGTGCCTATGCTCGTGCGCGTATTCTGGCCGGCTTTTGGCTCTTCCAATGCCGTTGACGAGTATTTATATATCAATACCAAACAACGCCTACAGCCGAGGCTCCATACATCACGAGTAGTTGTATATTATTTGTTTCATATACTAGTGTTAGTTCGAGTATTAGCATATTCATTAGTACCTATCACAATACATATACCCCCACAGGAGGTGATACCGTACCTACCGTAGTAGTGTTCCACGGTCTCACATGCGATGGCGAAGACACTCCGGGTGTGTCTACTGTGAAGAAATTGGCCGCCAATGGCATGCGAGTGATCTCGTACGAACGTCGTGCACACTCAAAGGATATACCACTACAGCGCTTAGCCGGTGATAAACCAGTGGTGGGTAACTGTATACTGATATTATACCAGTGATAAGTGACTGTACATAGAAATTATACCAGTGGTAGGTGACTGTACATAGATATACCAGTGGTAGGTAACTGCATACAGATATTATACCAGTGATAGGTGACTATGCATAGATATAATACTAGTGGTAGATAGCTGTATACAGATGTTATACCAGTGATAGGTAGTTGTATACAGATGTTATACTAGTGGTAGGCAGCTTTATACAGATAGTATACCAGTGGTAGGTAGCTGTGTACAGATAGTATACCAGTGATAGGTAGCTGTATACAGATGTTATACTAGTGGTAGGCAGCTTTATACAGATAGTATACCAGTGGTAGGTAGCTGTGTACAGATAGTATATCTGTGATAGGTAGCTATATACAGATGTTATACTAGTGATAGTTAGCTGTATACAGATAGTATATCAGTGGTAGGTAGCTGTGTACCGATATTATACCAGTGGTAATTACCTGTGTACAGATATTATACCAGTGGCAGGTAGCTGTTTACAGATAAATACCAGTCGTAGGTAGCTGTATATGTATATTACACTACAGACCTTGGTACTTAGATGAGGTGTATAAGTAGTTTGTATGGTTCAGTATGGTCATTCTGTCAGTGCCTTTTGTCATGACACTGTGTCGACCAAAACGGAAAGGGACGCCAATGGCACGCGAGTGGTCTCCACGAGGGGTGCACTGATTGTATACGCACATGTGTCCACACAGACACTGTCCATAACACAGACATTGTCCATAACACAGACACTATCCATAACACAGACACTTTCCATAACACAGACACTATCCGTAACACAGACACTGTCCATACAATCCATGGCATTGTATTGTACCCCATTCAGTACTTCAACGTCTATGGCCACTACGAAGACACTGTGGAGGTGCTACAGCACATCAAGCGAACTGTTGGGCGCAGCGCGTCGGTGTTTGGGCTGGGCATGTCATCGGGATGCACCACTCTCCTGAACTACCTTTGCCGTTCGAAGGTGTGTACTCGTACTTGACTACCTTCGCCGTTCAAAGGTGTGTGCTTGTACACGTTGCTCTTAGAAGTTAGTGCGTAGGCATTTGGCTCTGTTCCAGATGATGGGCTGTAGCTTTACCGTGTACTATATCCGTATATACATATATATATGTATATATGTATATGTATATGTAT